TATATATATATATTATATTACAATAGAGTCGTTTAATACAATGTGCAAGTGGTGCGACGTGATCTCAAAATTTACGAGACCCTTGTTTTTATAAAATTAGTTATTAACGATGATATATAATTATAGTGAAATATCAAGAGGTAAAAATTTATTCGTTATCATTAACTTTGAGTTTTTATCAAACAAATTACAAGATTTATTTTAAAAAAATTAAATCATAAACAGTACTGTTACAAACTAAAAAATTTTAAAAAATAAATTATTTTTTCAACTGTGTCTAATATAATATAAATTAGAGTTCAAGAAAAATAGATGTTTACAATTACAAAAGTTTCGAGATATTATTTGCAATTATATTTAAAATTATAAATCATTTTATCTTAAAGAGAGACAACAGATATTATCAAAATATTGGTTTGTTTTTCTATTTTTAGATTATAATTTTTAATATCTTTTCTAACAAATTTATATTTAAATATTGAAAATTTTAAATTTAACATTTTTTAAAATAAAAATAATTATTTTTATTTTGTATAGGGTTCAAAAATATTCGAGACGACAGTGTATTACAATATAATATTAAAGAATAGATTAAAAATATCAGTGTAATGTTGTTTTCTATTTTTTTTCCTGAGATTTTAATATGCCCTAATTACCCTGTTTTAGAACATTTTGATTCATGTATTTCAACAGCACCATCATATATTTACAAATTAAAGAGATCCTAGTAAATTAAGTATAATCCCTTTCATATTTATAACTAAATTTCATAAATATAATTTTTACATATATGATTAATATATATATATATATATATATTGGTTTGTAAGGTGATTACCGATAAGTTACATCTGTGGAGTCCGCCGAGCAGAAACAATGCCTCTGCTGTAGCTTTCAATGTGCATATCATTAAATGTATTGTCTTCACGAGTTATAAATGCAAAATAAATGTCAAAACCAATAATCTTTACAAATTGGTGAAAAGAACAGTACATTTTAAAATGCTTTTATTACTTATTTTTTGGTTTTAGATATGAAAAATATATTTGAATAAAAACCCATTAATTCCCTTAGTTACGTGTCTGTGTGTATATATATAATATAGTGCCCATAGTTATTTTTACCATAGGATATACTTATTCTTTATTTGAATACACTAAAATAGAGCATTAATGTTTTTTAAAATATTTAAAAAAAAAAGAAATTTTTGGTAAAATAAAAAAGTCTTCAACTTTGTAAAATAGCGATTTAAAACCTTAATTATTTATTTATTAGCATTAATTTTTTTTAAAAAGTCCTAACAAACATTAACTATTAAAAACAGCAATTTAAAACATTGAACATTCGCAATCCAAATAAAGCATAAGACTTTATAAAAAGAATATCTAAAAAATTATAGATTTTATTAGTATATATATTTTCAACTCAGTTTATAATATACTTATAATAATAATTGTATTATAAATATGTTATTTAAAAATTAGAATAGAAACGAAAAAACCAAATATAACCATTGATATTTGATGGACCCAAAAAAAAACTATAAGAGGGACAATAATTTTGTAAAGACAAATTTTATTCTTATGGGATATTTGATAATTTTATTTATAATTTATAAAATTTATAAAAAACTTAGTTTTTTTTATTTATTAGATGGGGTCTATGACCCAACCCATATAAGATGGGTCCGTCCCTGAATATAATATTTTGTACTATGTTATAAATATTTATATGGATATGAGATTCATTGAATCGTTTTATCGATAATAATATTATAAATAATTTAATAAAATATTAATATATTTTAAATAACAACTATAAATTTATACAGTTAAATATAAAAATATGTAGGATAATTATATAGCATTTACGATATTATTATGAATTTATAATGTGATATATTATGATATCAAATTTCATATAAAAAAAAATTATAAATTGTTTAGCTTATATGAGATCATTGGATCATTGAGATTTCACATGGATATTTTTTAAAAAGTTTAACATTTTATATTTTAAAAAATTAACATTCTTTTTGAAGTGGTGAATTATTAGGGTATTGAGTGGATTTGTTAAAAACTTGCGGATTCTTTTATTTTGTTTCCGGATTTTCCAAAAGAGGGGCAAAGAGAGGCCGGTTCTTTTGGTAAATGGGCTTGGGCTTCGGCCCATTCAAATCACCTGTTATGTACATAGTTAATGGGCTTGGACTTTGGTCTTTCGGGATAGGGTCAGAGACTATGGGTTTGGGTTCGGAATCATGATGGAAAATATGCGAAAACGATGTTTATTTTCCTAAAATATTATTGTATTTACAATAATATCTACATGGAATTTTGAACTCGAACCAACAAAAATTTGTAGATTTTCATGGGTTTGAGGTACCAAACCCGACCATGAGTTTGGCGAAGCCGAGATATAAAAAATGGTTTCTGTAATCTGAATTTTGAGAGGGAAATTGAGAGAATATTAACAGATTTTTTTCACTGATTTTGTACAAATAGTAAGTTGGTCGAAACATCGAACCACCAAATAAAACCAAACCAACCAATTGGAATCTAAACCACATTCAATGTCTTAATACAAGACGAAAACGGTCGAATTTCTCACTATAAGAGGATATTTTTCTATATTGATGACAGTAACATATACACGCTAAATATATAATAAAATATAATTGAATATTCAACGTATAATATCTAGGATAAATCATAACCATGTAACAATTTTGTAAAATCATCGATACAAAAAGAGAGAATCAATCATCAAGATGGGGGAATTTGTGTGAATCAATTTTGACATGAAACCACCTAATGTCTTCATAATATTTTGACATGAAACCTGCGTGGACGGGGCGAAATTCATGTTCGATCTATCTATATATATATATATGTATGTATGTATGTATCTAAATTCTAAAATTCAAAGAGACGAGAAAAAAATAATAATAATCTATGGGAGGAATGGTATTTTGTTCGGACTGTGATGTGAAATTCCAATTGTTTCACGACTTTTTCTAAGAGACGAAGGCTTTCTATTTCAAGAAACTGGATGTGGACAAATCCAAGATCCGTGTGAACATTTGACCCAATCTCTTGGAAGTGTGTCGTCATCCCCAGAACCTCATCGTGAGTTGACTTTTTCATATTTACTGATCGTATGCTCTTAATTTCCCCCATGTCTGTGATTGAATGTGGACACATTTTTATTTCATAACCAAAACACAAATATTTCCCATCACATTATCAAAAGAGTGAGCGAAATCATAACATTATAATCTGCCCATTTGTATTTCGTTAAGCATAAAAAGAAGCCACAATTCAAATATAATCATTATGTTCATCATCATCATCATCATCATCATCATCACCATCATCATTATTATTTAAGGAAAGTTATTAGAAATCAATTCAAAGTCGGCGAAAGGGTTGGAGAAAAAGAGGATATGAATCTCACCTAGAGAGGGAAGATGCCTTTGATTGTGGCGGCAAGGGGGGAGGGTCCTTCGTAATCGTAGGTAGAAGTTAGTGGCCCAAAAGTCAAACATAACATTAAATAAGGGGCCAAAGTCAAAATTCTGTAATTGGAACCATAAGCCATATTTAATGCAGACATGTTACCGCTACGTACTGATACACGTTAGAAGTTGGATCTAATTGTTGGAGGTTCCTAACATTTTTTATATATATATATATATAAATTATTTTATTTATTTTATATTTTTTTGGATGTATGGATACACAAGTAGATATTGTTAGAACAAGATTCTAACACTATGTATATGTATACTACCGACTGAAACCACGTCATATTATTGTTAGTAGATACTCCCTCCGTTTTTCAATAGTTAAGGATATAGACAAAAAAAATTATTTCAAAATAGTTGTCATTTTAGATTTTTAGTTAATTTTTTAAAATAATTTTCAATTTTATCCATTATAAACCTATAAAGTCCAATAAACCTAATGAATATTACTTATATTTCATCTTTAAATAAGGTATACATTTACTTTTTTTTTTTTAACAATTTCTTAAAAATGGTGAAAAAAGTTAAAAGGTCGATTATTATGAAATGGATGAATAGTTAATAAGCGTTATTTGATTAGTGATTTTATTATATTAAACTAATTTTTGTGGGACAATATACATATTTTTGGTCATAGTTAAAATTATCTACAAATGTTTTGGACAGTCGAATAGGTACAAATTAAAATACGCAGATTTTGGTTCCTTTTTAAATGGGGAGAAGGAGAATCTGTACAAACAAAACTAGGTAAGAAGAGGTTCTACCGTTGTCAACTAATCATGGAAAGCAAAAGTTGAAAATTATTATTATTTATATATATATATATATTAATTATTCGACAAAATCTTTGTTAGATAACATCATGCGGTTGGTATTATTTGGACCGCCTTTCTGCTTCGGACGAATATAATTGAGTGAAAAGTGAATCAACTAGCACATAAAATATATTTGAATTAAATCTGATTTAGGTTTTAATTGATTTAATCTGAGTTTTCAGTCAAAACGAAATGGAAAGTATAAAAAATGAATGAATGCGTATAATTTTTTAAAATCTAAAAATATGAAAAATAATATAATCAAAATAAAATTGTATCGACTCGAATATGCTTAAGCATGTGTCAAACATTTACTAGAGCGACCAACGAATTCATTTTTTAAAAGTAATTATATATGTAGCCATCAATTATGATTCGTTCGTTTCCCATATAGATGATGCTTAATAAAAAAACGGTGAATCAAGGATTAATTAATTGCAGTTGTAAACTTGCAAGTTGTAATAGGCCAACAACCTTAAAAATATGATATTTTTTTCGCATCTTTGTTTTTTTTTTGTAATATCATATGAACATAAAAATTTCGGATCTAACTAACTCTAAGATACGTACAATGAAAATAAGATGCTCGGAAATTTCAATCTCTTAGTGCATAATGCGATATGGTAAAACCCAATTATTTATATACGGTTGAAAAAAAAAGGGAAAAATTTTATATAATGTTTTCCTGATAAGGTTAGAAAAAGATATAAACTCTTTACTAAGATATACGCAACCACATCCAAACTTGAATAGTTCAACCGGCGAAATAGTTCGAACCTCAAATTTGGAGAAAGAAAGTATAATTCAAATCATATAACTGTCTCATATTCTCAAAATTATTATAAGTCTTGGTTTATAATATACACGACGACAAAAATATATGTAAATCGATGCATATGGATAGGGATGTAAAATGGGTTTGGCTCAAGGGTTGGCTCGCGAACCGACTCATTTTTTTTAGGCGAGCTCAAAAAATTTGAGTCTGAAAAAAAATGGACCGAGCGAACCATCTCGACGGACACATGATTTGACCCATGAGGCAATTTTTCTATCTTAATATTTTAAATATTTTTATATAAAAATTGTGTTTTTAATAAATATTTAGCTTGTTTTTCCAAATATTAAAATTTTATTATATTTATAATATTTTTAAACATTTTTGTAGTATTTAAATTTTATTTTTTTAGTTATATATTTGACTCGTGAACTGACTTATTTGCCTTATGATCTAAGGTGAATCAGGCCGAACCAAATAATTTTTAACTCGATAAAAATGAGTAGAGCCAAATTGAGTTAAAAAATTATGAAATTGGAACGGGTGGGTTGGATCGGTTCGAGCCGAACCGAGCCAATCCGTTTTACACCCCTACATATGAACACATAAAATATAGGTTAAAGATTTATAGGATCTATACTCTCATATATATAAAAAAAATTGATTAGGAACCCAACAATTGGTAGCCCAGTGACTGAGAGATGACAAAGTCATCCTCAAGGTCCTGGGTTCGATTCCATTGGTGGGAAGGGATATAATTTCTGGACTAAAATAGTTCATATACAAAGGCTGGTCCCGGATCTAGGGTGAATGTAGTCGGGTCGAAGACTCGAGGGATTATCCTGGTTATAAAAAAAAAATGGTTAGGATTGGCATGAATTTATTAACGCATTCGTATGCATGCATGCACGCACTCGTGCGGTTTGAGATACGAAGGGGCGAGAAGGAACCGCCCATGCGTCCCCACGTACCTGGACGATTATTTTTCAGCACATTAAAAACCTTCACAATATCACGAAATAATTTTACGTATTTGACTTTCTGACACGAGCAATAAAACATCAATGTATTTTATCCATCCAGGTCCTAATAAAATGAAAAAATGATATAATTCGAAGCAAAAATATAAAATTATTATTAATTCTTATAATTTTTGTATGAATTAATTTAATTAAATAACACTGATACTAGTAATACTATGAATTAATTTAAATAATTAATATAGAAAGATATTATTTCTAGAATATTGTCATTAATATGATTATGATTTATCCTAGATATTATGTCTAGAATATTCTATTGTATTTGTTATATATTAGGTGTAATCTTGCAATCGTCAATAATAGAAAAATATTTTCCTATTAATTAATACTAATTTTAGTAACAGCACTTGCGTGATTTTATGCCATTATTTATCTACATTGGATCGGGATGGAGAAGCATGATGAAGATTTAAAAAATATATCTAGATAACATAACAAATATATAATCTTAGAAAATAAAATTCAATATTTTATTGTCTTGTATATTCCCTTGAAATAACATCTCTTACTAAAACACATTGTAATGATATAGCCTTAATATTGAACTTAATAAAATCAGAATTCATAATCTAGTAGGTTGGTTTGCCCCATGACGAGCCATATATATTATAATACCACAATAAATATCATCTTCTCACAATAATATTATAATATAAAGTAATATACTTTATTTATGTATACAAGGTTTTAACTGGGTTTTTTTCACGAATCTTGGGGATTTTATTATATTATTAATAAACATGTATTTTTTTTTTGTTGAATAATAAACATGTATATTGATATTTATTTATAATAAAACATTTTGTAAATGATATTGAGGCGTAGTAATTAATGGGACAAGTAGTGATAATAATACCAAATCCCCATGCAAAGTGATAATTAAAAGAATATATTTATCTCTCAATTAAATACGTATAATAAATTCTAACCACGCAATTGAAATCCACTGTTCATAATTACTGTTTATTAGCCCTAAGCGAGACGGCGTTCCGATATCTCATTCGATTTGGTCCTCTTTGTTAATTTCGTCGTGGAATTTGTTTTTATCTTTTTACCATACACCACACAAATTTAGATTTGAGATTTGAGATTTTTATCTATATTAATATATATATTATTTTAATTGAACGTTATATCTAATTTAGGTTTGCGATTCATAATCAGTGAATAAAAATTCAATAAGTAAAAACAGTGACAGTTGTATATGACTAATTTTAGGGGAAGAATTAATTACATTTGACCCGAAATGAGAACACACACACGGAGAGTTTCGTCCCCTCGAACTTGGGTAGATCAACACCCCACCTAATTAACCACTCACAATACGCCACGTGTCCCATCTTGTCCAAAAATGCAATTTCTTTGTTTCCAGTTTTGGATTACGTGTCGTTTTTAGGCCACCTCTCCACCTCCCCCCATTCTGATTTTTTTCCATGCAGACTGCTTTTTGACATTTCTCACTGCCGAACCTTCGCATCTATACATACATGCATATATCCAAACATACACGTATACACACATATATATGGATAGAGACATAATGTTCATAACTTCAGTAGAATCCCGAAAACGAAGAACTTCGCTTTTCTTCTTCTCTTTCAAAATCTCTAGAAATATAACGGCAGTTAAAAGTTCCGTCTTCTTCATCGATTTCTTCAGGGCATGCGGAGAGGATCTTTCTGACGCCGTTAAGATTAACGTTTCTTTGCATCTAATAAGGTACCCTTCTGTTCGATATGGCTCGAATTGTAGCGGAAGAGAGTAGAGACGGTGAAACGTCGCCGTATTACTCCATGGAGCTTTCTACAATCTCACGCGCCGTCGACGCACCGTCGACGCTCGGACAGCTCCTGAAGAAAGTCGGTGACGCAAGGAAAGAAGCTGTCGGAGACGAGACTCCGATTCATCACCACGCGCTCACGGTCGCGCATGGCATCGACGCCCCTGATCATGATGAGATGCGTCCCGTCCCGTTCGTCCTGTCTTTTCAGAACCTCACGTACAGCGTCAACGTTCGCCGGAAGTTCCACTTCTCCGACGTCCTCCCACGGCGGAGGACAGAGGCGGCGCCGGAAGATCCGGAGATAGCCCCGGCCGAGAGGTTGTTCTCCTCGAAGACAAAGACTCTTCTCGACAATATCTCCGGCGAGACATGCGACGGAGAGATCTTAGCCGTTCTTGGGGCGAGCGGTTCGGGGAAATCAACGTTGATCGATGCCTTAGCGAATCGGATAGCGAAAGGAAGCTTGCGTGGCACGGTAACGCTCAACGGAGAAGTTCTTCAGTCTCGTATGCTAAAAGTTATATCGGCGTACGTAATGCAAGATGATCTTCTCTTTCCAATGCTCACAGTCGAAGAGACGTTGATGTTCGCCGCCGAGTTTCGCCTTCCAAGAACCCTACCGATATCGAAGAAGAAGCTCCGAGTTCAAGCATTGATCGATCAACTCGGGATCAGAAACGCGTCAAAAACCATAATCGGCGATGAGGGTCACAGAGGAATATCGGGTGGAGAGAGGAGGAGAGTTTCGATAGGGATCGATATCATCCACGACCCTATTATATTGTTTCTTGACGAGCCCACCTCGGGTCTTGACTCTACGAGTGCATACATGGTCGTGAACGTCTTAAAAAGGATCGCAGAAAGTGGGAGTATCGTAGTTATGTCGATTCATCAGCCGAGTTACCGAGTTCTTGGTTTGCTGGATCGGCTTATCTTCTTGTCTCGTGGACAGACCGTTTTCAGCGGATCTCCCTCGAGTCTTCCGCTGTTCTTCTCTGAGTTTGGGCATCCGATCCCGGAGAACGAGAACAAAACCGAGTTTGCCCTCGATCTAATACGAGAGCTCGAAGGTTCTGCAGGAGGGACAAGAGGGTTAGTCGAATTCAACAAGAAATGGCAAGAGATGAAACAGATCCGTCGACAAACCCTAACTCCTCCGGCCACTCCCTCGGGAATAACCCTAAAAGAAGCAATCTCTGCAAGTATATCCAGAGGTAAGCTCTTCTCAGGCGGAGCCGGCGGCAATGGCGGCTCCGTTATGGTCCCTTCCTTTGCGAACCCTTTCTGGGTCGAACTCATGGCTCTATCGAAACGCTCAATGCTGAATTCCCGGAGGCAACCGGAGCTATTCGGAACCCGAGTAGCCGCCGTCGTGATCACCGGATTCATCCTAGCTACCGTCTTCTGGCGACTGGACAACTCTCCAAAGGGTGTCCAAGAACGGCTCGGATTCTTCGCCTTCGCCATGTCCACCATGTTCTACACCTGCGCTGAAGCACTGCCCGTTTTCTTGCAAGAACGCTACATCTTCATGAGGGAGACAGCCCACAACGCCTACAGAAGATCCTCGTACGTGTTGTCCCATGCGCTCGTCTCTCTCCCCTCGCTTGTATTGCTCTCCCTGGCCTTTGCCGTAACCACGTTCTGGGCGGTCGGACTCGACGGCGGCGGAATCGGCTTCCTATTCTACTGCTTGATAATCCTGGCCTCGTTCTGGTCGGGAAACTCGTTTGTAACGTTCTTATCAGGCGTCGTACCACACGTAATGCTCGGATACACGATCGTGGTCGCGATTTTAGCGTATTTCTTGCTATTCAGCGGGTTTTTCATCAACCGGGACAGGATCCCGCCGTACTGGATATGGTTCCATTACATGTCGTTAGTGAAGTATCCGTTCGAGGCTGTACTGCAGAACGAGTTCTCGGATCCGACAGAGTGTTTTGTCAGGGGAGTTCAGGTTTTCGACAACACGCCGTTGGGGGAGTTGCCTGAGGCGGTGAAGGTGTCGTTGCTCGGGACGGTTAGCCAATCCCTGGGGATGACGATAACGAGTGACACGTGTCTAACGACGGGTGCTGATATTCTGAAGCAGCAAGGGATCACACAGCTTAGCAAATGGAATTGCTTGTGGGTCACGGTAGCTTGGGGGTTCTTCTTTAGGGTTTTGTTTTACTTCTGTTTGTTGCTTGGGAGCAAGAACAAGAGGAGGTGAAAATGGGTAAAATAAAAGTGCACTTTGGAAACATCAAGGTACAGAAAAAAACGTTTTTTTTAAAAATTTTAATTTTTTCCCTGTATTTTATTGGTTATGGTTATGGATGATTGTTATTTCTGAATTGTATTATGGTATCCGATGGTTGATTCAATTCTAATTGGCACATTTATAATAAATACAAAATCTTTTTCAACTTTGATGTTCTTAATCACCCATTTCTTGATACAAAAATGATTACCCATTTCTTTTTCATTTTGCACTATTTAAGCAAACCTTTTTAATCTAAAAATTTCGTCGACATCTATAATACGACTATGAAAACTATATATACATATATATGCCCCTAAAAGTAAACCTCGAATGTCAAAATGGCAATCAAATTCTTGTATTCCCGGGAAAATGAGGGAAAATATCCAAACAGACGAGTAGAAAACCATACTTTCCCCACAATCCCATACATTTTTTTTATGCATCTCTTGTTCTCGGATATTGAAAGAATTATGATTCAATTCTATATTCACAAACTTAAGACCCAAAAAAAAAAACCCTACAACCACAAAATGAGCTTCCTCTTTCAAAACCCTTTTTTCTCCAACCTATAAAAAAAACCCCAAGTTCTCCTGAGATTACGTCACATCAGATTCAAGGGCCTTGCTTGTACCTTGTTGTCCTCGGGTTCCTTTCATGTTCATCTCCTTCCTCCCGTCTCTGTCGTGATTTAAAAATCGCACGTGATGTATCCCGAGGGAAGTTCTACTATGCTCGGCTACAAGCTATGTCGGTATCTATGACAGTGTACGAGTGAAAAAATCGTTGACAGCTAGATTACGATCTCCGTGGGCCACCGCGTCTTCGGGTTCTGGCATGCACAGACTAGATGATGAAGCCTGCTCAAGGAAAGACAACACAAGTAATCGTCAAGCCAAATGATTAGAACAAGTTGTTTTCTACTTGAATATAAGAATTGAGAGTTTAACAAACGGTACAAGATTTTGGTATAAAAACCTAAAAAAAGTCTAATAACATTGTAGTGAACCGATAAGAGGAAATCAAAGCAATATACCCGAAATGAGGATAGGATCTGCGTTTTTGCCAGTTTTAATGGAAGGTATGGCTAAGATGACGAAATGGGTCATTTAAAAATAAAGCAAATACAGTTGGAAAGGAGACTCCATTCAAGTTACTTAGTCATGGAGCAACAATAAAATACCTTAGCATCAAGGAGCAGTTCTCCACTACTGTCAGAAATGAGGCTTGCCCCATGAGCTTTCAGCCATTCCAAACATTCCTCCATCCCACCGTTCTCCTTTTCATCACCACCTTCACTTGAATTTTCAGTAAAGCCCAAGACTTGAGCTAAATATGAAACAGGTACCGTGGGACGATAAGCACGAGCCATACAGTTCACAGCCTTAAAACGCATCTTCTCCACGTAAAGATCTGCCCGGTAAAGAGATGAAAAAATTTATTTCCTTTCAAATTGGCATAACATATCCAGCTATTCAGAGAGAGAAAAATCAATCAAATCACAAGAAAATTCCACATGTGCGGCGGCCTACCCATGAGGCAGCTGTTCATGTTTGGTGCAGTCTTGTAGAGCCTGAAGAATGTAACATAATTTCCCAAAGTGACTGCTGCACGAACTGATAGCGCATGTTTTACTGCTTCGTCCTCCTTTGCTTCATCAGACAATCTACAGAAATGCAAGTTGTTTGATCTTGTAATATTTGAAAATAATAGATGAGCAAAGGCAGAGAGGAATTTCTCAAAAGGGTCTGTTGTTTGCTCTAAGAGACAAATCTCCAGGGGATCAATAATTAGGGGCACAGAAAAGCAAACCACGCATTCATCATATTTGTTCACTAGAATTTAAATCTCTGTAGATAAAGAATGGGGCTACCAGAAAGCCTTCAGCATTCACCTTCTACCATCAATATATAAGATATGAACAATTAAGTACTAAGTAAACATCTGAAGATTCACAAGTTTCAATTTTAACCTCCCAGTCAGTTGTGTTCTTTTGATTATCACCTACTTTCGAAAAATCACTAGCTATTTCTACGCAATAAGGTAACTGAGCCAGAGACAAGAACACAATCTTCTCGAAATCACTTGCCTTGACATAGATGATAGAAGCTCACGGTTATGTTTAGAGTGCAAAGTAATATAAAGCAAGTCATAAGCAGCAAACTCCAGACAGCATCCTTCAATACCTTCAGCATAGAGGATTTTCAGCTGGGCTAGGCACTGGAACAAAACAAAGGATCAATACTAACTGCTTCACATCAGATTTGACAAAATACTATATAACCCTTTTTGGTATCGAAAGAATCTTCAGATTTCTACGAGTTGCTAGTACATTTTTCTAAACCTCCTCAATATGGATGACTAACATAAAATATGAATGACCCATGTCAGTGTGGTAGTAACCTGATTGTACTCGGGCAAGTCCCCAGCCTCCAATGCCAATCTCGCATGTGTTTCATAAACCTGAAAGAGATTTAAAACAGTGTGACCATCATAAATGGGTACACTGATGGAAACTCTTGTAACCCAAGTAAAAGTGATAGCCACAGAAGGAATACTCCGTGGAAGAACTCTCGACATCTTTACGGGTGTCTTATAACGTACCTTAACAGTTAACTGATTGCGTATCCTTTGTACTGTAAGATCTTGGCGAATAGATTTCAACTGATCACATTTATAAAGATAGTTCTTTTGAGAGTCCTGGACCATCAACAAAGCTTTTTCTAGCACATCTTCTGGCCTTACCTGCAAAGCAATGCAGTTTCAAAAAAGTCAATTAAAACTATTGAGCTGAGTACTAAACCGTTTTATTGCATATGAGATATTGATATTTACGGTGGAAGGATCCGGTGCAGATGTAAGACGGAGATAGCGTTTCCCAATTTCCTGGCAGGTTCCTTTAACAGTTAGTGCATCCCAGTCAATGTCTTCCACGGCTCTGCTGCCACTATCATCATAATTTCTGCTTAGCACTAATGCAGTAGCTCTTCTAGAATACAGGTTTCCAACACTAGCATTCTTCGATTTGAAATTGTTGCTCTGCCTGCTGCGCCCTTGACTTTTTTCAAAACGCTTGGAGCGACTTTCACGCCGTTTCTTTTCCTCTGCTGAACTAGCAAGTGCAATTGCACTAGAATAGTAAGGAGTCAAACTCTGCTCCTTGTCACTGTCACTTGATCCATCATTATCAACAGCAGCAGTTGCACCATCAGCAAAACGCTGCCGCTTGACAGGTCGCTGAAAATTCTTTTTGGCAGAGTTTGGGCCGGAATAAGTCGATTTAAAGTCAGTGAAACCGTCCACCTTTTGAGAACTTTCCAAACCCTGTACGATTCCTCATCAGAACCAGGAATTAATGCCAAGAAGAAAACTTCTAATTGCTGTGATAAAAAACCGCCCATTTACTAAGTGCTTTTCTCTCATTTCCTATTACTGATTGATAATAGAGGTACTGCCACAGACAACACTACACAATCATAAAGAAAGGAAAGTGGAATGTAGTTAACCTTTGTCTCCTTCTCACTTTGAAGGCTCCAACCTCCAAACTTCAAATCACTGCTCCAAGTGGTAGGCAATTTGGCAACTGGTTTTCCTTCTGACAGTGGCTCCCATCTACTTTTTGATCGCCTTGTAGGACTCTTCTTTGGTAATGAAAAAGTGGGGGTTGAACTTTGCAACCTGGGGTGTGAACTACAAACTTAGTAGCAATATATAAGACAGTAAATATTCCAACAAACATAAGTTGGAAAAAGGCCATACTCGTTGGTCATATCCATGTTAAGTACAGATGAAAAAGGCTCAGTATCCCAGTCCCTAGTATAGAGGGTACCATCAGCTGTTGCTTTGCTGATGATCTATAAAATAAAATACAAAAATGAACATCAAAACGCTAATCAGCTATTGCTTTGCTGATGATCTATAAAATACAAAAATAAACATCAAAACGCTAATCAATAAAATATCAGCCCAAAGTTTTTAGCAAATGCATTGGTAATTTCATGTTATTATCCTAAGAAAGGCATGAACACATCTCATGCTACAATAGCATATCTCAAAGTTCTGTATAACATGTTACCTCCTTCAAGGCAACCTGACAAGATGCCTTTTCTTTATCATCTTTGCAGCAGGCAAAAGCCCTCTCAACGAATCCACGCAGCGACTTTGGGAATGCGCCAGCCTACCAGCAATTGGGAGAAAAACATCCTTGTTTAACATAATTACAAAAAGATTGCAAATCACTGCGTGCTCCACTGGGACCATGTATACTCCTGAGATGTAGGAGCACTGGCCAGAACGGCATTCTAAGAATTTTACCTAGCAGCTTTATGAAATAGACATTGCCTCTCAATTTGATTTGACATATATGAGATGAATTAGAATAAAAGAACTGATAAAGGAGAATTATCCAGACTCCTTTTATGATTGAATTTACTTCACAAAATGCGTAGAAATCTTAGTCCCTTTGGGAAAATCAGGAGTAAGATTACTTTTTCTTCTGGTATGAGCAAGAACAACTTTTCAAAACAAGAAACATCAAAGTGCTACCTTCAAACCAAATATTTCATCTTTGACATCACTCATAATAAATCAAGAATCAGAATCAGAATCTTACCTCAGGCATACCAGTAGTATGGTCTTTAGGCTTTGGCATCGAGACGCTAACATATGCAGGCTTTTTGGCTGCGCCAACTGCTGAGCTATCTTTATCCGTTTTGGTAAAACCTAATGGCAAATTTGAAGCAATTCTAGGGTTGGTCTGGATCTGTAGGTTGCTTACCCTACGGGTATCTAATGATGGTGCTGTCTGGGGAGTCTGGGGAGGCTGGTGATAATCTGGGGGTGCGGGTGCCTGATGAGCGAATGACTGAGAGTTCAATCCTTGAGGATATGCAACTGCCTGATGATTTTGAAAGGAGGTTTCATACAAATGTTTCACCTCCAAGGGGCTTTGATAATGGTTTTGTGTAGAAGAAGGATGATGACTTTGCAGGCTCGGCGTGTTATGCATCCAATAAGCATCATTAGAAACACTCACTGCTGCACCAGGCTGAGAGAAAATAAAAATGAAAATTTGTCTACTAGTTCGTCATGAACTGATTTCCTCAATGAAAATAGACAAAACCTGTAAACAAAGCACTCAGAGAAAGCAAAATTGCCACTGAGATATTTCCCAGAGTTTCTAGTATTTAAGGTACTGCACACTTACCTGCGTTTTCCATACGCTGGTTAATATCAGATTTTCACCAGCTTAATTAATTTATCAGGAAAATTATAATGATGTTACGTTTTATATACCTCCAGATGAGAAAGTGAGTATTTCGATCCATAAGAAATTCGCAGGGACAACAACCTAACATATTATAATATTAAGAAACACAAATTTGTTCTTCCCTCATCTCAAGAAAGAAGTTCAAACCTGCGGAGGTGTTTGGGATGAATTTGTTTCTGGCCTCCAGGATTGTACGAAAGACGGAGCAGGCTGACCATCAGAAGGAGGAATTTGACTAGTAACACCAGGAACGGGAAAACTCTGACTGGATGCACTGGAGACAGACAACTTCTCCGTCCCAGGGGCACAAGGAACTTCCGTTTGACTGTAATAGTCAGACCATTGTTTGTAATTTTGTTGATAATGCACAGAGGTTGTGGATGCAACACTTGAAGTATGGGCACTACTGGTGTCAGGAGGGTAGGTTTGATAAGTGTTTGATGTGTAGCCAGCATAGTTTCCCTGATTCCACGCTGCAGTCTGATTTCCATAACTTGTACTTGGATAGCCTCCAGCAGTTTGATTATTATAACTTGTACTTGGATAACCTCCAGCAGTCTGATAATCAGCAGGATTGTAGTAAATTCCTGAATAACTTGCAGTCCCAGCATAAGACCCTGTATTCTGAAATGAGGAAATAGGCTGATAAGGAGCACCTGTGTTTTGATATGCCCCTACAGGCTGAGTATATGAGTGGTTAGGTTGCTGCTGATAGCCACTGTAATAATTTGAGTAACCCGTGCTTGCATAATTATAAGGATCAGTAGAACTCGGGTATGATGTGTATCCACTATACTCTTGAGCTACATTTGCAGTTCCCGAAGTAGATGAGCTAGGCACAGGCACAGAATTTGACGCTTCCTGGACAGTTCTTGTGGCTTGCTCCGTAGGCTGTGGCTGGTAATAATTCAAACTTGAATAATTCCCATTCTCCACAGCCTGATTTTCCACTCTATTAGTTGTCCATGTAGAAGTGTCAGACCCACTCAAGTATTGATATGAAGACGACTGTATTTGACTTCCATCAACACCGTATCGATTCTGAAACAATGGATAGGTGTCAGTAATGAAACATCCCACTGCTTATCCACAATGCGATACAGAAAAGCATCATTTAGACAGGCGGCAAACAAAAAAGTCCTCAAATCTGGAAGATATCTAGTAGGCTAAGAAGAATAATACGTATAACAGCCATCAACAACTACAGCTTGAGATGCTACCTCAAGCCTATGTGTAAGCAACTCTAACATAGTAACTTTAAAGATCTGTAGACGGATCAATAAACAAATGAGCTTCCTCAATGAAACCAAATCTCTAATAGAATTTATTGCTAAAGAATGCGTCTCTGCAACTTGGTCCTGTTTCACACAGGTAGATATCAAACAAAAATCGTCACTCTATGCTAAAACAAAAAACACCCAACAGCTTTTTCATTCTGTCACCTCCCTAACACCAAAAAAGAAAAGGCTTTTTTGATACAGTATGAAAGTTCTCAGACAAAGCACCAAACAAATTCACTCTCTTGTCTCTTCTACGGCCTAATGCCATCAATGAAGAATTCCTCCAATATTAAAACAATGAATGAACAAAGACAACTTTTTGGTCAAGCGTAAATCGCATTTAAATCCAAGCCAACTCCCAAAAGAAAAGTGTCAATCGACACCAAACCCACAAAACCTAGAACACATTACAGCACATTGAAATCCATAAATCCAATTAATACAACTCCTTGACTGCATACAACAATCTATTGGACATAACATCGACAGAAGGTCAATGGAAAACGTCTCGATAGCAAATAAAAAGCAAAGGAAAGCCCAAAAAAACCCATAAACAAACAGTTTACCTCAATCGAATTTGGGTCCAGTGTAGCAACGGCCTGAGTGTTCGCTCCTTGATTCATTCTACCATCAACCACATGCGCAAGCATTCAAAAGAAATAAGCACAAAACTAAATCTTAACAACACTAACATCTATCCCCAGAAAAACCCTAATCGGAAAACACCGAGACGCAGCTCGAATACATACCTGTAATGCTCAAATCTGTCTCTTGTGAGTTCGGGCAGTCGGTTGAAGAATCGGATGTAAAAATTGTAACATAACAGAATTTCAGATCGGATTAAACAAAACAGAGAGAAAGAAAAAACAACGGAAGGGGGAAAAGAGGGAAGAAAACTACAATTCAAACAATACAACACGGAGATCTATAAGAAGCTATTGAAATAACAGAACACGGAGAGAAATCGAAGGAACTGGAGAAAGAAAGAACAATCTGTGAGAGTGCCGGAGAGGCAGAAGATGGTGAATTTTTCCTGGCGAGATCGGTCGGCCGGGTCGGGTTCTATCCGGCTGGTCGGGTTTATATAGAGTTCGTTCTCCTGATTTTATAATGCGAATTGCGAAGGCAACACCCTGTCCTACGTGGACCGTGACTCCGGTTCTAGTAAATTTGATTTTATTTTGAATCAAACCGGTCAACGATGATGGGACATCTTAACCGGTTGGCCACAAACAGATCCAACCCAATCCGAACCGGATATATAATATTATCCATCGATCTCTCATTCAATCTCGTTTTAGAGATATTTCTGGTATTTCCCGGTAAATATCTCAAAACATTTTAACAATATAATTCGGAGATAGATTTTGAAATATTAAAGTGTTGGAAATTATATATATATTTTTAAATTTTGGAATATTTGATGTGTGAAATTAGAGTTTCTTACATAATTTTTTTTTTGTAATAATGGTTTTTAACTTTTTATGATATATTGTTAGATTGGTTATTGAAATTTGGATTATACACTTTATGTTTGGTTTGTAAATTAATTTCATTTTGAATTTATAATTCTACGAGCTCATTTTTTTTATAACCACTACTTTTTCTCCTGTCTTTTTGTTTTCGTATTTATAAACATGTAGTTGTATTTATTTTTAAAATTTTTCGCAGTTAAAAAAATATATTAAAAAGTCACATGTGTCTTCATTAAATCATATTGGGAAAATCCCATATTCCCCCACGAATTTGCCAAATTGTACCAATTTCCTACATCAAATTGATCCGGTCCGAATCGACACTTGGTCAAAGTTTATATAATTTAACCTGAAACCCGACTCGATAGATTTTAGATTTAGATCGACTCGGGCTGGGTCGAGTCGGACCGATCGTTTAAAATCTTTTGTAAATTTTTTTTATTAAAAAATTTAAAAAAATTATCGGATTTTCGAACCGATTCTAATCGGACTCAAAGTCGATTTGAGTCCGACCTGAAAGTTTGATTTATTTCGAGTCTCATAACTTAGACCAAAAGTCTGGTATTTTTTGGGTTGGATCCGACTAAATTTCGAATTTCGGATCTAAATTGATACCCTAGATATAGAAGTGGAAAAAACAATTTTTTTTTTGGTGTGGAAGGTATTTAGAGAGCAAAAAATTGCAAAATTTTTGGGAAAATCCCATATTGCCCCACGAATTTGCCAAATTGTACCAATTTCCTACATGAAATTTTAATTTCACAAAAACCTACATGCAAATTCAAAATGTTCCAAATTCCCACACGAAATCGGTAAATTCGTTGCAATGTCCTACACATCACGAAACGACGTTAAACGTAACAAATTTCCGTTAAAATCTCAACTGACGTGGCCAGACACGTCGGAAATAATGTACACGTGTATATGCCACGTGTTAAATCTAAAAACCAGAAAATCTGTAAAAAATTAAACCGGTTCGGTACATAATTAACCAATTAAATAATAAAAAAAACACACAAAGAAAAAAAAACTTAAAATCTCTAACCCTAAATCGACCCCTCTCTCAATCGGACCCTCACTCTCACTCGCCAATTCCCCCAAATCCCTAACTCCACCGCGACTCCCCTGGCGAGGCCCTCTTCCGGCGCGATCCCCTCCGCCGGCGACGCCCTCTTCCGGCGCATTAAACCGGTTCGGTACATAATTAACCAATTAAATAATAAAAAAACACACAAAGAAAAAAAAAACTTAAAATCCCTAACCCTAAATCGACCCCTCTTTCAATCGGACCCTCACTCTCACTCGTCAATTCCCCCAAATCCCTAACTCCACCGCGACTCCCCCGACGAGGCCCTCTTCCGGTGCGATCCCCTCCGCCGGCGACGCCCTCTTCCGGCGCGATCCCCTCCCCGGGCGACACCCTCTTCCGGTGCGATCCCCTCCCACGGCGAGGCCCTCTTCCGGCGCGACATCCTCCCCTGTGACTCCCCCGACGCGATCCCCTCCCCCGACGAGGCCCTCGTATATCCTCTCCCCCCGGCGCGATCCCCTTCTTGTGACTCCCCCGGCGCGATCCCCTCCCCCCGACATTCTTCCCTCTCCCTGTCCGACAATCTCTTCCCCGAGAGTTGTCTCGGCGAAACAACCCCCTGATAGCCCCCCACGCGGTAATCTCCTCCCCGCGATTGTACACCGATTGTCCTCCGCTCGAACGCTCTCATCTCCAGGTATCGATATTGCCTTACTGTTTTCTGTATAAGTTTTTGTGTGATTCTGCGTTATGGGTTTGTGTTTAGGGATTGGCGATTTTTGGTGGAAGAAATTTGGATTTTGTGTTATTAATGATGTCTGTTTTGGTTTATAGTTTATCGGGTTTGGAATTTGTTGACTGAAGAAACTCTGAACCATTAGTGGACTGAGAAAATGAGGTAAGTTACCAATTCCGTTGTTGATTTGAGTGGTTCGATTTGATTAGTAGATAGTAATAATTGTGTTAATTTTGTAGTTGGTGTAAAATCAACTTTTATATGACTGGATTTATGCACGAAATAGATGGAAAATGCTGTTACTTGGATGGAATTGTGGAGAAAGGTGTTATGGTGGATATGGATGTTATGTCTTGGTTTTTTCTTGAAGATTTCGTGAAATCTCGTAAGATAAGTGGTGCAATCAGAGAAATGTGGTTTAAATTACCACATGAGAGTTTGGATGAGAAGAGACATGTGTATGAAGGACATGGGGACAAAGCAATTCATCTTATGTGTGAAATGGCAGCGTTGTGTGGAGAGTTAGATGTATACGTAGACCACCATTTATCTCCTCCAACTCCAGTTAAGGCACCTACAGAAAGGAATGATGACGAGAGTGTAGGTGATTATGACAGTGCTGATGATGATGATTTTGAAGGCGACGATCATACTGCTGAGTATGATTATGATAATTCTTCTGATTATATGGATGAATTTCCTGAGTATGAAAGCAGTGATGATGATTTCGTTGAAGAGGTTCATGTTGTTGTTGAAGATGATGTTGTTGAGAATGAAGAGATGAATTCGAGTGAGGATTATGCAGACAGTGATGAATTTATTCCAACGACACCTGAAGGAACAGATGAAGAATGGGAAAATTTTGTCAAGTTATCGAGGTGGGACCGAACAAAATTAGCCGCAGTGTGTTGTAATGTGGGCTGTCCATGGAGGGTTTATTGTTCGGTTGAAGACCCAATCAACAAATGGATGATCAAGGTCTACAAAGACGATCACAACCATACTCCGGAGAAATATGCAAATATGTTAACGATGAGGCAAATAGCCACAATGTACGCTGAGAAGATAAGGTCAGATCCAAGTTATACAGCCAAAAAGATGCAGGATGACATACAGCGGGATAAAAATTTGACTGTCTCAATGAGCAAGTGTTTTAAGGCTCGAAGTTTGGCCTTGAAAATTGTGCGTGAAGATCAAGAAGTTCAATTTCGAAAACTGTGGGACTATGAGTTAGAGCTGCAGCGTTCAAACCCCAATACGAGTACTGAAATTGGAACAAAACCAACTCCGGGTCAAGAAGTGTTTCACAGATTCTATGTTTGCTTCGAAGTCCTACGTGATTCTTGGAAAAGACATTGTCGTCCGGTTATCGGATTAGATGGATGTTTCTTGAAGTGGGACTTTAAGGGAGAACTTCTATCTGCAGTTGGTAGAGATGCAAATGATGGTATTTACCCTATTGCATGGGCCGTTGTACGTATCGAGGATACCGACAATTGGACGTGGTTTGTGAGAAAATTGAGACTAGATTTAGATTTGGGCGAGGGACAAAATTTGACGATATTGTCCGACAAGCAGAAGGTATGAATAACTCTTTAACTTGGTTTTATAAATATTAATTAACAATAACATATTAATTGTGTAACTTTGAACAGGGTTTGATGAATACCATCGAATCAGAGTTACCTTTGGTTGAACATAGGATGTGTACAAGACATGTTTTTGTGAACTGGAAGAAACAATTCAAGGACCTCGAGCTTAAACTTCTTTTCTGGAAGGCGGCCAAGAGCTACCTTGAAAGTGAGTTTCATCAATATGTGCGTGATATCCGAGTGTATAACCCATTGGCTTATGATGGTTTTATGAGGGCAAAACCGAAGAAATGGTGTCGCGCATTTTTCAATCCTGAGACGAAATGTCATGACGTTAACAACAATTTATCAGAGAGCTTCAACGAGTCCATAAAAGAAGCACGTAGTCTTCCCATGATTGACATGCTTGAAGAAATTCGAAGGAGTATAATACGGCGGATATCGCGACGTGCAACTCAAGCAGAAAGGTGCAAAACCGACTTCCCTCCAAGAATCTTGAAAGTTTTAGAGAAGTCGCGTGAGAAATCCCGTCATTGTAACATAATACGGAGTGGATACGGGAAATATGAGGTGGCTGAGTTTGGGATAAGTTATGCGGTTGATTTGTCTGCGAGAACGTGTGGCTGTCGGCGATGGCAATTGAGAGGTATACCTTGCCAACATTCCTTAGCCGTCATCAAAGTCAACCGAGAAGACGTTTCTAGGTAATTTTCTGTTCATTTATTTTTACATATACCTTGCATTATAGTTGATCATTAACAACTTATTTTTTCCATTTTTCAGATATATGTCGCATTACATTAAGAAATCCACATGGCAAGCAATATATCAGCGTAATATCCTACCCGTAAATGGTGAGCCGGCATGGATGAAATCAGGCAAACCTCCAATTGGTGTCCCCACGACAATACAAATGACAGGACGCCCAAAGAAACACAGAAGAATTAAGGAGCCTCATGAGTCAGCCTCAAAGAGTGGTCACATGACTCGACATGGAAGAGTTTTCCGATGTAGAATTTGCAAACAACCTGGCCATAATGCAAAAACATGCAAGAATGAACCAAGGCCATCTGAGGTATGTTGTATTCTTCTGATTATATTAATCGATTACAGTATATTATCATTTTTTGTTTTTTATTGTAGCCAAGATCAGCCCATAGCCATGCACAAACGGGCATGAATGCACCATCGAGTAGCAATGCAGAAACGGACACAAATGCACCATCGAGTAGCAATGTACGATCGGGCGGGAATGCACCATCTGGTGCTTCCATACCCACTCAATCTAGCCAGACAATGCAATCCGGGCTTCCCCTCACTAGTAGACGTCGTCGTCTCCTCGGAATGGTACCAAGCAATATGGGGACTACAACAACTACTCAACAGCCATTTTCAGTACCTAGGCAAGCTGACATGTCTGGGTACGTTATTATTCATTTTTTTTGTTCTTTTGTTCAATCTTTTCTATCAAACTTTTTCTACGTTATTATCAAGAAATTCAAATTATATTTATACAGACATGTTCAATCTTTGTCTTCCAGATCAGGAAAACAAGTTCAAGGAGATTGAAGTTGAAGAATATGATCCTTCTTTTTTGTTGCTATTGATGTGGTAATATGAGAAACTAAATGATCTTTTATTTTGGATGTAAGACAATATTTTGGATGTAAGACAATATGTTGTATGGCATTTATGAACTCATATGTATTGTAATGCCTTTTTGTTGGATATGAAATGTTTTATCCCGGATGATGATTTCGTGTGCGACATTATTTTGGCCATATTATGTTCTAATTATATCTGTTTTACATTCATATTTATACACATAAACATCAAAAAATAATTTTTCTAACCAACCATATTATACACGAAATACAGAGTCCCAAAATATGAAATTTCTTGCCTAACGTAGTTCAAACCAGAAAATACATTTACCAACAAATCCCATAAGAAACTTCAAACAGACAAACCATAGTAGTACATGCAAACTGATATGAAAACAAACACTAACACCAACAATTTGGAGACTTGTAGTTCCAATACCAAATCCTTCTTCTCTGTTTCAATTGTTCCCATCTTGTCTTCCAATTCTTTCTTTTCTCTTTCAGTTTTTTCCATATTGGCTTCCAACTCTTGCTTTTCTCTTTCGGTTTGTTTCACCTGGGCTTCTAAATCTTGCTTCTCTCTTTCATTTCTTCTCACCTTGTCGTCGAACTCTTCCCTTTCTGCTTCCATTTCTTGCATCTTTTTAATGATCAACTCAATCTCAGCACCTTGTTTTTGTTGTTCACCATGTAAATCCTCGATTGCTTCAATAAAAGCATCATCCACCCATTTAAATAAGTGCGAAGGATTTCCCTATAAAACAACATCAAAAGAACAATGTTATGCACATCTGCCCAATGAAAACAAATTTTCTCAAAAACAATCTATACCTCATGATTTGCACAACGAAAAAAAACTCTTCCGGGGTTATTGTGAGTTTTGGAGGTCCATCTTGTAATAGCAGATCCACACTCGCATTGTGTAGGAACACCTCGTCGCGGCCTTGCTTCTCCTTTTTTCCAATTAGAACTTCCCGACTGAGAAGTTGCCTCAGATTTTGAACTCATCTACCAACACAATATAATACAATATAATACAACACCATCAACCCAATCAACACAATCAACCCAAAAACGACAATAGTCCATCAGAAAACACAATCTAACAAATAGATCTAACTACAAAACTAATCCATCAAACATGATCGAAAGGAACCGAAACTTGTAAACCATAATCCATCAACTACAAAACTAGATTCAAGCAAAACCAGGGAAGTAAACAGAAAAGCTAAGAGTGAAAGAACAAATCGATAAATGTCGATTTCACGAAAAAAAATGTGATTACCGATGAAGAATGGGAAACTGAGGCGGAAAAAAGAGGGCGACGGTCGGAGGAGGAGAGTTTCGCGGTGGCCGAGGGTATCGCCGAAATGAGATCCGACGATGATTAATGGTGTCGTCGATGAGAGATGAGACACAGGGAACCGATGAAGAATCTCTTTGTCGGAGATGGAAGAAGCGCGGGGGAGGATGTCGCGCCGGAAGAGGGCGTCGCCGGCGGAGGGGATCGCGCCGGAAGAGGGCCTCGCAGGGGGGGTCGCGGTGGAGTCGGGGATTTGGGGGAATTAGCGAGTGAGAGTGAAAGTGAGGGTCCGATTGAGAGAGGGGTCGATTTAGGGTTAGGGATTTTATGTTTTTTTTTTCTCTGTGTGTTTTTTTTTTATTATTTAATTGGTTAATTATGTACCGAACCGGTTTAATTTTTTACAGATTTTCTGGTTTTTAGATTTAACACGTGGCATATACACGTGTAACGTCGTTTCGTGTCTGGCCACGTCAGTTGAGATTTTAACGGAAATTTGTTACGTTTAACGTCGTTTCGTGATGTGTAGGACATTGCAACGAATTTACCGATTTCGTGTGGGAATTTGGAACATTTTGAATTTGCATGTAGGTTTTTGTGAAATTAAAATTTGATGTAGGAAATTGGTACAATTTGGCAAATTCGTGGGGGAATATGGGATTTTCCCAATCATATTCTTATTAATAATTTATAAAATTGAGTATTTTTAATTAAAGGTAAAACTGGAAAATGTTTTTAAAAATCAACTAAAAATCTAAAACGATATCTATTAAAATACAAAAAATATATTTTAAAACGACAACTAATTAGAATCGGATCGAAATATTGGGGTGATACCGAATAAAAGTAACATTTGTGTCATAACATTCACATTGTAGAATTTGTATTAACCAACAGGGTAAAATCACTCAAATATACCAAAGGCGTTGCACTCATTTCTCGGATACACCCGAAAAATTATAACCCATTAATTTTTTTTGAAAAGACTATATTAGCCTTAATGAAACCGTGTAATTATAATTGTAAAGTCGTAATTGATTCTAAATACAGTTGCAATTGATTCTAAATACAGTTGCAATTGATTCTAAATGAGGTGACAAAAAATACATCTAATTGTTTACATGATCTTTAGTTGTTATACGGTTGTAAATACTCTTTTTTTAGTTGTATATTAGTTATATAACCGTCGTAATAAAGTCGTAAAAAATATGAAAGAAAGGTTATTTCGGACTTTTTAAACCTAAAAATGGTATAGAATTGAAATTTTTTTTTTGATTTTTTGTAGGTGTATCGCTGAAATTGGTGCGACACCCGATTTCTAATTGCACGTGTATTTGGTAAAATCACCCAAATAACCCATTTGGTTCGCATGTATTTCAGTGTACACCACTGAGAATAAACAATTTTTTTTTTCAATTTTAACCCACTTTTCGGTTGGAAAAGTCCGAAATACCCTTTTCGTTTTATTTTTTGCGACCTTATTACGACTAACATATAACTGATATACAACTAAAATAAGACATATGATTTTTTGCCACTTTTTTTAGAATCAATTGTAACTATATCTAGACTTAATTACGAAGTCGTAAAAACGAAGTTGTTTTCGAACGGATAAATATCGTAATTTCGTCTTTTCACGGGGAAAAAAATGTGTTATGTTTTCGGTGGTGTACAGGTGAAATAGATGCGACCCAACTGGGTTATTTGGGTAAAAAACCCCCTGTATTTTGCGTAGTAACATATTGAACACGTGCAAAAAAAAAATTGGAATACTGGGGTGATTTCTAATAAAAAGAAAACTAATGGGGTGATATCGAAGAAAGAGGAAATAATGGGGGTTAACCTTGAGGTATTTATTTATCTTTCAGAAAAAAGAAGAGATCCGCGAGGACTTGTCTATTAATTTGTGTATTCTTCACGCGCCGTGGTGTAGTTGCGGCGGTCCTCCTCCTCCACCGTCGAGGAGTGAAAAACGACGGCGTAATTGCGAGATCTCCGGCGATGATATCGTTCGCGCCGACAGCGAAGCTCTTTGGGTTTCAGCAGCGCTGCGTTTGTAGCTCATTCCGGAAGCGTCTCGGCGTCAAGCTCCAGTTTTCTTCAGTGCCCGAATCTAAGGTTTGGATTCAAGGACTGTTCTTCAGTTTCGTTTCCCCATCTGGTTTCCGAGAAAATGGAAGACGTCGAAAGTGTATGAAACTTGATTCGAAGTGAGACTTTTGGAATCCTTTGGACGCTTCGGACAAGAGTAGTGCGAGGGTGATTGTGGTAGCATGTAATGTGTTATAGATTAGAGCTCGCTCTAGTTGGTTTCCAGGAAAGTGGATGAAAAAGCTGAGAAAAAGAGAGACTTTCGATGGTTAAATCGGTGTTTAGGATCGATAACGAGATATGTCGGAGATGGGTTTTTTGTTGAAAATGTGCAAACACACGAAAATATGAACTGCGATAAAGCTAATATTGAAGGTTGGCACTGCTCTGATTTGTTTGCTTCTCTTTATGGAGACCTGATCAAACTCTTAAGTGCTTAATCTGTAGCCTAGATTGTGGATTTATGAACACATTTTAAATGTACAGAACTTCGGCTTTTCGATAGTGTTTTTACCTTTTCCTTCCTTTATGTTAGGTGTTATCCTCTTTGGATGAAGAATGCAGTGATTTCTTGCCGTGGTTAGAACAGATTTCGGGGGCCAAGATTTCAAATGTGCTTTCTATAGGGAGATCCACCTACGGCAGGTGGGTGATTGTTTCTCAAACCGGTATGGGATTAGAGTTTTATCTATCTAACTATCAAATGATGTTCCATGCGGCAGTTATTTGTATGAATCATCTATAAGTTCCCTTTAACACGGATCTGCATCGCCGTCTGGCAAATCAAAACATTGTATAAAATTTTGGATGTCTATTTTTTTTTTCCCTTCATGAGCTGATTCTTTGTTTTTTAGCCATATGATAATAGTTTGCTAGTGTATGTTCTGCCGCTACGGAAATTTTGTTGATTTTCATTTGCAAACACAGAGGTTGTTGTCTTCTGTTGTGACGGTTTTTATATAACAGCATCTCTTGTTTGCATTTCATTGCCAAATAATGTAACAAATTTTTATCATATTGTCTTCTGAACAGGTCACTGTTTGCCTCAAAAGTTATCCTTGCTGGAGACTGCTTGTTAAAAGTCCCTTACAATGCGGTACATTCTTACATCGATTTTGTTTTTTCAAATGAAGAAAATTTCAGATATATAACACTGTTTTATTTTCTATTTTACATTGATTTTTCAGCAAATAACTCAAGATGAGCTGCCTCCATGTGTAAAAGGTTCATTGATAGATGAAGTTGGAAGTATTGGGAAGTTAGCAGCTGTTATTATAATAGAGAAGAGAAAAGGTCAAGTAAGCTGACCTACAAATTATAAGCTCAGTTAAATCTAAGTTCTCCTCTATTCTAAAGTCTCAATCTTTTATGTTTATGATAAAAGTCTTCAGTAGGCATGACTTGACGATATCTATGGTTGTTTCTGAATCAGAACTCTCGGTGGGCTCCTTATATCACTCGGCTTCCTCAGCCTGAAGATATGCACAGCACGGTGGATGTTAACTCTTGTTATTGTAACATTCAACTGTTTTCGTCTTGATTAAAATGACGTAGTACCTGTACAGAAAATTTAAAACAATGTATCAGTTGTATTGTATCTTAAGATACAATCCTTGTGAGCCAGTAAAATCAGCATAATATCGCAAGTTATCTTATTTTTTCTAGATTTTCTGGAGTGAAGATGAGCTGGGCATGATCCATTGTAGCACAATCCACAAGGAAACGGCAAAACAAAAAGCACAGATAGAAAAGGAATTCTCAGCAGTAGCACATGTAAGTACCTGTACCAGGATCCTGATGGGCAACGTTACATCTCTCTGCATTTTTTTATGGCAAACACAGTTCGAAAGATATCTGATTTCCATGTGCATTTAGAGAGAGAGATTCTGTTTTCCACGTGCCTTTTCTTTGTCTCTTGATTATTAGCTTCATCTGGTAATGTAAATAAGAGTCTCTGGCTATATTTTATCATGTCTTTTGGTTGTACTTAATTGACCCTTTTGAGTCCAGCATGTATATGTAATAGAAACATTTAGTTGTGGGTCATTCAGTATTCGTGGTGTACAAACAAGAACGACATGGAGATGAAAACCAAATATTGACAGGGGTTTTCCGCATGATGATGCTCTCAGGCTATGAGATTTTACAGACAAGTTGGGATTTACGCAATTATCTGGGTATATATTACATCAGTTGAAAAAGTGAATATCTTATGCTACGACTAAATCTTAAAGACCTGTTGATATTGATTTTGAATGAGCACAATCACTCTTGTTGGAAGAAAAAAATTTCTTCCCTGTATTTACCCTTTTCCAGCTTATGTAATTCTAAATTCCGTTCCAAGTCACATGCAAATCATTCCCCTGCATTTTCCAGCCTTTGTAATTTTGTTCACACCCTGGTAGGTAAATGGAGTTCTAGAAACATGATTTGATATTTTCAGGCTCTTCAACGGCATCTTCCTGAAGTGCATGAGAGCATAACTTTGAAAGATTTTATGCATGCATATGCTTTAGGTGAGAAATTTACTCTATATGTTTTTTTTTTTCACATCGTCCCATATGCTTATGCCTCGTGTTTTTGTCCTCGTTTCTCTGACATTTATTGTAATTCAAGCTTATGTTTACTTAAAGCAAATAACGGTTACTTCCCCTATTACTTCTGCATATCAAATTCGGCTAACTTGTTTGATCTTTCAGTGGGATCTCGAGCATGGGAAACCTCAAAGGGAATATCTTTGGTATTGCTTTCATAGAGTTTTGCATTTACTTATGCTTAGTTATTGTAATACTTGCTTCTGATACAATAGATCTTCTGACTAGCTAACAGATTCCTTTTGCGGACTTCATGAATCATGATGGATTTTCTGAATCAATAGTTGTGGACGATGAAGATGAACAATTATCAGAGGTGTGCTTACCATTTTCTGTTGATTCTAACATGTTACATACTATGTTAGGAATATCCATCCGAGACATTTTCTTTGTATTCTAACATGCTTTAGGACAGTCTCGGAAGACATACTTTTCATATGATACTTTGGTTTCAACTTTTCAGGTTACAGCAGATCGTAACTACAATCCCGGTGAGGAGGTAAGATATTTAACCAAAAAAACTCGATGTTCAAAAGATAGGCTTCTCAAGAGATTCATGTTTTGTGCATCTGATAAGTGTTTACAGGTTTTTTGTTAGGTTTACATGTTTGTTTGGCTGTTTAGTGTTGGTGAGTTAGTTAGTTCCAGCAATGATTTGGTCGTAGTTTTCGCTATAAATACAGGCGAGTGTGGGTTAGAGAAGCATTTTCAGAAAGGTTTTGGTTTGTTTGGGGAATGAGAGTTGGGATGATCCTCTCATAAAACAAGATCATCCATTTCGTGTTCAGAGTTCGATACAGATTTCGGATTGTTGAAGTAAATCTGAGTTTCGGGTTCTGAATCCTAACAGTATCTTCTGATTGGTTGCTGGTCGTGTTTTATATTCCATCTACAAACAAACTAGCCAGAACCATAATATATGACGAGATTTCGATTCATGCTGCCAAATTTATTGGATGTAGGTGTTCATAAGCTACGGGAGATTCTCAAACGCAACGCTGTCGTTGGATTTCGGATTTACACTTCCTTACAACATTCATGACCAGGTTCCGTCTTTCTTTGATTATTTGAGTCATATACTTAAACTACATTTCAGATATACATATATATATATATGTTTTGATGATTTTTGAACTGGAAATTAAATTATATTCTACAGTGTTTAACGTGAGCCGGTGTTGGTGATTTTACAGGTCCAAGTCAAAATGGAAGTAGAGAACAGAGATCCACTGCGTGAAATGAAGCTGGAACTTCTCCAGAGACATCGAACTCCGAGTGTGAAAAACATCTTCCACTCTTCTTGGGATGCTTTCACTATCAAGTCAGTAATTTATTAATGCATGCTTTCTATATTTTCACTCATCAAATTCCCAGAAAATATGTATGAACACTGATAAGGAGATAAGAATTGTGTTATCGATATGGCTTTCCCGCACTTGAAGAGTTTGGGGATCCTTCAACGTTGATTCGAAGTACGTTTTTCATTCAAAACTCTTCTGATAATTTATTCAAATGAAAATTCAGTCTCTCATAGCGGCTTCTCGGCCACCCGATAAACCAGAGTCTTACTCAGATAGAAACTCCTCTAAACCCTAGGGTTAGATCCCGACCCTGTCAGAAAATAACCCAAAGCAAAAAAACGGAAAATAACCTAAGCCCAAAATATAAGAAACCTAACCCCGATAGGTTACTCGGGGATCTATCAGAATGCAATCGGTTGATGTAGGTTTCGGACAGAACAACGGATAAGTATCAGGGGAGACAATGACATCGGTGTTGTGAAGTGAAGGAGCTGTTTTTGAACTCTATAGTTTTTGGTGATTCTTGCAGGGAAGTGAAATCTGCTAAAGGAAAAGGAAAGGGCCTTCCACAATCTCTTCGTGCCTTTGCTCGTATTCTATGTCTAACCTCTCCTCAAGGTAACAATGATACCGAATCCTCCCGTGCTTTTATCGAAGTTCTAACATCGCGTAATCATGATAACGGTGTTTGGATTCTTCAGAGCTGAGCGATTTGTCGAAGGAAGCCGCACAAAAGGATGGCCGCCTTGCTCGGCTTCCCTTGAATGACAGTGGCAAAGAGTTCCAAGCACATCAGCTCTTATCCTCACATATCAGCAAATTGATCGAGGAACACACTTCTTCCATCGAGGTAAACATCGAGGGCTCGGGTCTTATCGAAAATCTTACTATATAGAGGTAAGAGTACTCGTCCGACTCGCGAGTCGAATACTTAAATTTCGGGTACTTGTCCACCAGTCAGACAAGTGTGGGTCTGTCGACGGCAAGAACCTATACACGCGGATATCTCGAGCTGAAGAGAAGGCAAGATACGAGAGAAAGGCGGTGAGGGCCACGAGGAGCGAGAGACGAAGAGGCGAGGGTTAGAACATTAGCGTTTGGATTTTTTCCCCCCTTCTTTTTTCTTTTATATCAGACATCAGAGATTTTTTTTGCTGATTTCGTGATTTCAATTCGCTTCTCCTCGCCTTGACTCTCTTTTTCCTCATCTCGACCGACCCTCTCGGCTCACCCCCTTGCAGTTGTCCTTTTCGACCAGATATCCGCTGATACCCAAACTCTCCCGCCACCACAATACTTGACTCTAACAAGACTAAAGTCGAGTAGCCTAATACTTGACCCCTAATCACGTGTTTTACATGCCAGATACCTTTCATTTTGCAGGCTTAAAACACCTGATACCTTCCATTTTGCAGGCTTTGGAAGCTTCGGATCCGCATCACAGTTCGCGAAGATTTGCTGTTAGAAGGCAGATGGCACGGAATCTCCTTGTGGGTGAGCTTCGTGTTCTAAGGTCTGCGGCCGCATGGCTCAGTCATTATTGCACCACCCTGTTGCCTCAGCCCGTAAACTTGCCAATCCCGTTGATAACCGATCTTTCGTAAACATGAAGAAAGAAGCCTGCAAAACCCTAAACCCTGTTTTTTTTTTTTTTTTTTTTTTTTTTCCGTTTTCTTCCGGTTTTGTCTGATCTTCCCGTAGCTACGGTTACTGTTATGTAATAGATATAATATCTGCTCAAGCAGTTGTGCCAACTTGAAAAGCTGTACAAGAGGGCATGGGCTTTAACGTGTTCCCTTTCACTAGCCGTCGGGTATGAGAAACTAATTTTGTAGTCCAGGAACTGGAACTCGGACTAAAATTGTTATTCCATGGTTGCTGATTAAAGATTTACTAACACATGAAATAAAAATGAATTTACAAGGGGTAAGAAATAGTTGCTACAGATGATGTGAGATTACGAATTTATGTTTATTCACAGAGGCAAAGTAGTGTTACTGACTTGGGCGAGAACGAATAGCGGTCAGCCATTTTCCCACTACTAACCTGGCCTCCGTAGTGGCAGGAGGATCAAACAGTGAAGGGCTTGATCTCTCCTGGACAACCCTCTTCTGCATCCAAGCTCACGATATAAAGGCCTTAACTAGGTCGGAGTAGTTGCAGACGTAACCTGTCCTCGGACATGTTATCTTCCCTCCGTTCTTCTCGGCCATTTCCTTGAGTGCCTGAACATGACGATGCATTATTACCCGTCATTGCTACCCAAACTAACACCAAAATCCAGAACCAGATATTCAATTTTTTTTTTTCCGGGTATATGAGACGGATGATGCAAAACAAAAGCAAATTTGATACAAGAACAGAACTACTAACCTTGGTGCTGTAGACATAACCATTGGGCAGCACCTGTGGCGGATTCTCCGTGTCCATCAGCTCTCTAGAAATATAGCAAACGAGTTTTGAATGGTGCTGCTTCGAATATGGTAAAGGCAGAGCTAGATTCCGGAAGCTCTCTTGTGAAAGAGGATCCTCCTTGGTGCAATCTTCCTCATAACAAAATCTAAACCAGGTCAAGGTAAATCTCAAACCAATACCTTCCCGTAGCTACGGTTACTGTTATGTAATAGATATAATATCTGCTCAAGCAGTTGTGCCAACTTGAAAAGCTGTACAAGAGGGCATGGGCTTTAACGTGTTCCCTTTCACTAGCCGTCGGGTATGAGAAACTAATTTTGTAGTCCAGGAACTGGAACTCGGACTAAAATTGTTATTCCATGGTTGCTGATTAAAGATTTACTAACACATGAAATAAAAATGAATTTACAAGGGGTAAGAAATAGTTGCTACAGATGATGTGAGATTACGAATTTATGTTTATTCACAGAGGCAAAGTAGTGTTACTGACTTGGGCGAGAACGAATAGCGGTCAGCCATTTTCCCACTACTAACCTGGCCTCCGTAGTGGCAGGAGGATCAAACAGTGAAGGGCTTGATCTCTCCTGGACAACCCTCTTCTGCATCCAAGCTCACGATATAAAGGCCTTAACTAGGTCGGAGTAGTTGCAGACGTAACCTGTCCTCGGACATGTTATCTTCCCTCCGTTCTTCTCGGCCATTTCCTTGAGTGCCTGAACATGACGATGCATTATTACCCGTCATTGCTACCCAAACTAACACCAAAATCCAGAACCAGATATTCAATTTTTTTTTTTCCGGGTATATGAGACGGATGATGCAAAACAAAAGCAAATTTGATACAAGAACAGAACTACTAACCTTGGTGCTGTAGACATAACCATTGGGCAGCACCTGTGGCGGATTCTCCGTGTCCATCAGCTCTCTAGAAATATAGCAAACGAGTTTTGAATGGTGCTGCTTCGAATATGGTAAAGGCAGAGCTAGATTCCGGAAGCTCTCTTGTGAAAGAGGATCCTCCTTGGTGCAATCTTCCTCATAACAAAATCTAAACCAGGTCAAGGTAAATCTCAAACCAATACAAGAAATCAGAATTTAGTGCAGAAGCTATGCCCTGATGTTTCTCCAGTTTAGTACCCATGATGCCAATGGCTAAAACTGAATAATCTGTAGGGTATGCTACTAATGACTATAAATCATTTATTCCCAATTGCATGCAGAAAGTAAAGTGATTATCTAACGACAAACTACTCATTAATACTACGGCGGCATTATTAAAAATAATTCTTCAACCAGATTAAGACACTTTAGGTGTTTAAATGAAACACCGATGAGATGTGAAAACATCAAATCCATATAGGTTAAAACTGGATACGGAGTTTTCAGAGCGGACAAGCCTGCTTGTAAGTAGATGTTTAATAGAGGCTCCAGTGTCATGCCATATAACTTGCAAAATTCTTGTTTAAACTGAAGGACTAGAAAGTCCCACTGCTTCGGTTCAAACAATGACTGAAAACCAAAACAGAAAAAAAAAATTATTAGTTTATAGGCGAAGAGATCCTTTCAATAATCAAGCATTTCAAGCCATTAACATTTCAGATTGCACAAAAATAGAAAGGCGAGTATCAAAACTTGTTCTGCCACGAAGATTATCAAGAACTACAACGCTGGATTATGGTGCAATCTAGTCAACTCTCTGCAAGTACAAAGAGATAACATACTCTGGCCAAGTTCTTTATCCATCTTAAACAAAATAACCATTCAATAAATCCATATAAAAGTAATCCAAATGCCAATCCATGATAGGACTGCAAACATATTTTATGCAAACATATTTCATTCAATAAATCAGAATTTACTCTGTAATAAACCTTGATTTTAGAAACATAATGAAGTAGAGCTACCGTCGACAGAAGAAAAACTTGCCTTATATTTTATGCACTCTGTATTACTTCTAAAAGCCAAAGTGGCCACCACATGTTGCAATTCTTTCATATGGGTTGATCCCCAAGGTGCCAAGTACTTTCGTGCATACTGTATAGCGTGTTTATAGCTATCAGCTGAATCAGCCCGAACCAGCTCTATGAATTCTTGCAGCCTTAGCTGGAACTCAAATTTGCTCTGTAATAAAAAGAACCCAAAATTGTTAGTAGTGACAAGATGTCCCCTGTGAAACAAGAAACAGGCCTCAGTTTGTTTTCATTTCTTAACATCACATCAAGAGCCAAAAAGCCAAAAGTCCACATGAAAAATTCAATGCAAATCCTTGAACAGCAGATATAATGTCCTTATTGAGCCAGATTGGCAATTGCCTCCAGCAATCTTGTGGTTATCATAAGAAATAAGAAAAGTTTACCCATTACGGAATGTTAAGCATGATCACAACATACCTTTGACTTTTTCAACCGCGATTTGTTATCAGCACACCATGCCAAGGCAGGAGCTACCTCTTTATTTTCAAGGGCGTCGATCACCTTTTTAGCTTCTTGAAAAATATCAATGTCAACGAGGTCCTGAATAGATGAGACGATCAATAAATCAGAATATCTCATCATTTTGCAGGCTTTTTTTACAAGTCTTTGGGCAATTCTTCACTGCTGGTAAAATGGGGTAGCCGAAAATGCTATAATCATTTTCGGATGTTGAAATCACAGAAGTATAGCACAATCACGAAGTCAACAGAGTAATTAGTGGTTTAGAAAATCTCCAACTAGCATTACACAGTCAAAGCAAGAAGATAGAATAGAACGAGAATTACCTGTATATTGCTACTCTCTGTGAGCTTTGTAGCAGTGTCGAAATACGACATTCGCAGCATGTAGTCTACAAGAATCCGCTTCAACTTTGTGTTGTTCCATTCAGAAAAATTCTCTGCATCTGCAGAATCCAAATGATCAATACGAGCTCGACATCTCTGGGCTTGCAAATTCTCTGCATTGTTTCCTTCTTCCAACTGAAACACAATTTATACAGAGGATTAAAACCACATAAGGAAAAATAAAACTTCAGAAGAACACATGAATCGTGCAAATAACCAAACCCAAATCCTCTTTTCTTAGACTTCATGAATCTCCAATTTACCCAAGAACTGAACTAGTAAAGGTCCTTTACCCAGTTTGACCTGATTGATTAAGAATCATATATTCAAAATATTCATCCCTATCACATCAATTGAATTTTTATCTCTCAGGCGTAAGAAAATAAGAAATAATTTCGGGGATTGCATTTGTCATGATCTATGATCGATTATATTGGATTTCCTCGTCCCAATTTGAAAAATTATCCAATCAAATCCAGCAATCAGATAACCAACAATCGTGGCCGATCATCTAACAGACTCACAACCTTCCCTTAATCACACAATTCATAAAAAATCTTTTTCCTGGATATCCATCAATCCAACATCGAAACAAATCAAAATCATTTTATTTTCACGGAAGAGAAGAATTACCTTTCTTTTGAGGCCTTGCAATCGCGAGACAAGGCTCGTAAGGTGCAGAACCGTATCGTCCTTGGACCAATCGGAATCAGTCAAATCGCCGACGCCAGAAACGACTGAGGAGACCTCCTTCTCGAATGCTCGGTGTTTGGCTCGGATCATCTTCTTGTAATGCTCGAAAGGGACGCGGAGGAGCTGGTGCTCCAGCTTCAGCGATTCCGTAAGCTGACTCAACCTCGACGACCGAGCCGGAGGCGGAGCGATCGCCGCGGAGGTGGCGGTGGTTCCGTCCGTTTCGGCGTTTGCGTTTCCATTGGGAACTGGATCGATTTCCATCATCGAGATAATCGGAGAAGCAACTAGAGACAGAGAAAGAAAAGCACGCAAGGAACTGTGAGATTTCGCCTGCGGGCTGCGGCTCGTGGAAGATTAGAGAGATCGAAGGCAAGGCTCCACTCTTAAACGACGCCGTCTGGTCTGGCCCTCAACGACGCCGTTTTTGTTTTTGTTTTTGTTTTTGTTTTTGTTTTTGTTTTTATTTTTATTTTAATTTTTATTTTTATTTTTGTTTTTGTTTTTGTTTTTATTTGAGGGAACTAAAGGCACTTCTACTAATTACTTAATTAGGCTTCCTTACTTATTTCTCTATCTTCACGTGGAACTCCTAAAATTCACTTTGCCAAAATATAAATGTATATTAAAGTGAAAGATTGTTTTATTACAATTATGGCGGTGTGATATTACTAACTATTCATTTCATTGGTATAAAAAAAATTGAAATTGAAGAAAGTGTTTTATTTCCATTTCTTGTATCTTTTAATCATTTGTCATGATTTATTTTATTTTAAATACTTCTAAAATATCATGGGAACTTAAAAGATATTTCGAAATGCCCAACAAAAATGGAAGATGTATTGATTTTCTAAAACTTATTGAATAGAATAAAAACAAAAACAAATCCACACAGAGATTATAACTACAATATTTTTTTTTTTGTATATTTATACAGAGGTGGACCAATGGTGTTCTATCTTAATTTTTTGTGTTTTTCGTTTGGTTAAAACCAATAATAAATACCGAATTGAACTAAATATTAAATTCTATTTAGTTTTGGGTTAGATAATTTTTCGACGTTAAATTGGTAAAATTATATCAACATTTAAATGGATATAAATATGGTTTAAATACTATACGAGCTGACAAATTGTCATTCAAATGGAACCAAACTATATTCATTTTACATGGTTCGAAATGCGAGAATTAAAACCAAACCAATAACAAATTTATTGAGTTATATATATATATATATATATATATATATATATATATATTTGTGGAAATATATTCAAGTAAATAGTATGAATGCTCATACCATATATTATTTTCCTAAACTTTAACTAATTTTTTCCCCAAGTTGGGTAAAATACGATGGATTAGGGAACAAATTATAATAATTGGGTCCACATTACTGCTTTTGCATAAACATGAAACTGACCGCTCTATCCGCGCAAGGGAAAAGATTTAAAAAGTTACGACTGTAATTCCATAAATACCCCTAAACTTCGACTCTATTTACGCACTATACCACCAAAAGAAAACAAAGCCGTTTTGTCGCTTCGTCTTTGTCCGCCGTCGACGGAGCCTCTGCCGCCTCTACTTCTCACGAAGAACTATCCGTTACATCAAATCGCCGTCAACTGACGCCGTTAGTATCCGCTTTTAAGTGTCAATTTTTCGGTTTCGTTTTCTTCCTCATTTGAAATTTAGAGCTTCTCTAATTTCGATCCACAAAATCTCTGTTTATGGCAAGTTCATAAATCCTGGATCCTATTTTTTGAATTTCGAAAACGAAATATTTGACTTTTTGCGGTATATTCCGAGCAAGAAATTGGTCGTGGTATTTTTTTTTTCCTGGTTTTGGGACTGTTCGAAGTGGGGATATTCTCCCTCTTGCTGGGCTGTTTGGTTGGCGAGAAAATCGAAGAAAGCGAGAGAAAGGACAAAGAAGACTGGAGTTCCTTGCACAGAAAACTTTTTCCAGTTTCTGAATGTTCGTAAGTTTCGCTGCACGTTTCTTCTTCACCTTTTCCTCCTCGAATGATTTGATCCGTACCTCGATCCCGCAGAATCAGTAACCCAGTTAGGATATGATTTGATAATCTCCGGTTCTTGCTCTCTAGGGTTTATGCGAATCGAAGATGACAAGGGTAGTTTGGTATTTTACTCAGGACTGGGTTTGTGCTTTAATTTTAATACGACTGAATCGGAAGCACTGACATTCTATTTTAATATTGATGGTCATATCGATCTTGTTCCATTATTTAACCAGTTTCTCTTCATCAATCCTTGATTCGAAGATCCACATTGAGTATCATTGCCTTTGTTTAATGGGTTATTTTATTTTGCTAATTGTTAGTTCGAATCGATTCAATACGCTCATTGCTCTCTGTTCTTCTTCATTTGGCTCTGGTCTTTCACATGAAACACTTCCCTGAAGAAATCATTGTACTGTATATGGTCTACTATCTCTTTTTCAAGTCATTCTGTTTGTCACTTTTTTTATGGTTTAAGATTCTTGGGTTGCAAGTATGATTCTGTATAAAGCTTGTTGTTTTCGTGCTTCGATTTCGTGTGATTGAGGTTCTTTGATTCGGGTTGGGGAACTTCCTGATCAGATTGCACTGCTCATTTCATTTTCTTACTTGAAATGAGCTTTCTTGTACTTGGGGAGCTGTTTTTATAAACAAAGAACCATATGCTTTTCCGTTCGAGATTCTCTGCATCATAATTAGTGTCTCATCCCTCCATGTTTTCTATTGGGTTTTGCCAGTGTGAATCAATCACGTTTGTGCCCATTGCTTGAGCTGTTTGTACCTTATACCTATTTTTTATGACGAAGAAAAACTTTTTCGTGACTAGGGCAAAGACCAGTTTTCCATTGTTTCTGTCCGTTCTTTTTTCTTTCTAATAATTTGCTTTATATATTTTGATTGCAGCTGCAGTGAGGTAGGACCCTTTTCCAGCTAGCATTTCTCGTTGGAGATACGCCTATGAAGAAGCTCTTCTTTTTTAAATCTTCATATGGTAATGGAACCAGCAACAATGCTGTTCCTCGGCCAGCTTCTGATAAACAAGATCAGCGGGAGAAAGCATCGGGAAATAGGATGAGAAATCAAAGTGGTGATCAAAAGGGGGGTTTTCCCAAGTCCCAGAAGGAAGTATCTGGTGGTCCAGCTCTTAGACGAAGTCTTTCATTGTCCTCGGCAGCTTTTCTTGTTGATGGTTTTGGAGAAACTTCCTCAAATGATCTCAGGCAATCACCTTGTAGTACTACCAACAGCCACCATCGTCAACGCAATCATTCATCTCGGTAATTTTATAGCCTTCATTGTAGTAAGATAGTTTTTGATTGGATGGATCTCATTGTTTCAATGGTATTTAAAAATCAATTTTTCTATCGTAATGTTTCCATACCGATGAGACAAGAAATAATGCATTGGTAATTCATTTCTATGTGCTAGGTGCCTTACTCCAGAACGATGTTATAGAGAAAGGCAGTTTGAGCCAGAATATAATCACAAGTACGAGGGCAAGTTTCCACATGATTCATCTGGAAGCTCTTCATCTTGTTCTAGTAACGTCTCGAATAAAGTTGTGGACCGTTACATTGATGGAGAAGAGCATCTAGAGAGGAGCAAGCAAAAGAGCAGTTCTTCGCATAGTAGCATCTCTGGAAACAGTAAAGGCAGGAGGCTTCCCCCACGGGGTCATTGCGTGGTCCCTATATCACCATCAGACAGTGTCAAAGACAAACAGAAATCTCGCTCATTTAGAGAAGCTAAAGGAACCCGCCTTCATTTCCCTTCTAGTGATTTGGTGGACAACGGATTTGGGCATGAATCCCCTCGTGCACTTGCGAGAAGTGTGATCGAGAGACTCTCTCAAACTCACAAGTCGAAGGCATTAAATCATGAACCTATCACAATTCAAGATATCTATGGTGGATCCCAAGGTAAAACCTTTGATTCAAACTCAGATGTCACTGCCATGAAAACGGTTCAGATTGTAGGAAATCTTGACCCGGTGAATGAGGATCATGGAGATGATCTCTTAGGTCACCAACAAAATTGTTTACATGGTAAGAACAGATATGGGGGCTCAAACTATACTGGAGCTGAAGAGGATGCTGATATCGAGTTAAGAAGGAGATATGAAGAGGCTGAGAAGAGAATGAAGTATCTTTCTGAAGAACTGGAGCAGCAGAGGTCCTTTTCAAATTGCGATGTTTCATATTTGGTTGAGTCTCTTAGAAATCTGGAAGAGGAGAGGGTAGGCTTGGCATTTGAAGTTTCAGATCTTTTGCGGTCTCAACTGGGGGAAAGGACTTCTGCCAGGGAGGAAATCAGACTTGCGAAGACCGAACTGGACTTGCATATACATAGACTAGAAAGAGAGAAGAATGAGTTGCAGGCAGGACTGGAGAAAGAGTTAGATAGAAGGTCAAGTGACTGGGCTTTCAAACTCGAAAAATATCAGCTGGAAGAGAAGAGGCTCCGAGAGCGTGTTCGAGAGCTTGCTGAGCAAAATGTCTCACTCCAGAGAGAAGTATCAACTTTCCATGAAAAGGAAACAGAAAACACGGGTCTGATGACGTATTTGGATGGAAAAGCTAAGGAGTTAACGACAAAAGCTGAGGATTTGCATGAAGAAAACTCTTATCTCAAGCAGAGCCTGTCAAAATTACAAGAGAGTTATGAAGGGACAGCAGAAGATCTTCATTGTTTGAGAAGAAACTTTGGAGAGAAGGATAAAGAATGCAGGGATTTACACAAATCCGTTACAAGATTCCTGAGGACATGCAAAGAGCAAGAGAAAACAATCGAAGGACTACGGAATAGTCTCTCTGAACACAATAAGAAGCACCCGTCTGAGAAATTTGATCAGTCGGTCAAGAGATTGCAGATGGAGCAAATAAGGTTGACAGGGGTTGAATTTTCACTAAGAAAAGAGTTAGAATCTACGAAAGTCGAAGCTGATTCTCTCCGCCACGAGAATATCTGTCTGCTGAATCGGTTAAAAGGAAACGGAGAAGAAACTGGCATTTCGATGGTGAAGCTAGACAATGAGATGAAGATGCGTGTCTGCTACCTGCAAGATCAAGGATTGGCAATGTTAAACGAGGGCACCCACCTGTGTTTCACGTTACTGAAGTTCATCAAAGGGAGATTATCTCAATTTCCAGAAACCTATCAAGACATGCAATCGATTAGCAACGGCTTGGCTGAACAGTTTATGGTTGAGTCTGAACTGAAAGTCCACGGTATAAGGCGAGGAACCGAAAATCTGAGAAGGAATTTGCAGACAGTGTCTGTTCTGTTGCACGAGAAATCCAATTTGGTTGCCTCAAAATCTGAACCATCTTGCTCAGATTTGGATAGACCTCAGGATCTAAACAACCAATCCCGGGAGGTGAGTTTTCGAGATTATCTAATTAAGCGGTCTTCCATATTCTGTTTTGCTTGACATAATTACATTATCTTTCGCTAAGTTTTCTAGCTGATTCATTTCATATAGGAAGCCTTGCAAGCCGAACTGAGAGCAGAAACTCTGGTTACAAGTCTGTTAAGGGAGAAACTGTATTCGAGGGAACAAGAACTCGAACAGCTTCAAGGAGAACTCGCATCATCTGTAAGGGGAAATGAGATTCTGCGATCTGAAGTTCAAGCCACCTTAGACAACCTCTCTGTCAATACCCACGAATTGAAAGACCTCAAGCTTCAGGTAATGGAACGAGGATACCGAAAATAGAAGCCATCATATACACATACTCCATGGATTTATCTTGCAGCTCATTGCCCTCTTGTTTGACAATGAACAGATGCTGAAGAAGGAAGAGAACATAAGGCAGCTCGAGATGGGTCTGCAGGAAACAAACAAAGAGCTCGCGGGCGTGAGAGCCTTATTACAGAGAGTGTCTGAAGAGAGAGATCGGATATGGACAGAGCTGAAGCAGAGCAGCGAGAGGAACATGCTTTTGAACTCGGAGAACGAAATGATGAGGAGGAAGGTCGAGGCTTTGGACGAGGAGGTTCTGATCAAGGAAGGTCAGATAACGATACTGAAAGACACGCTCGGGAACAAGCGTTTCGACCTTCTGATCTCGAGCCCTGATTTCTCCAAGGATTTCTTGGTCGAATGACCAAAATTGGAACACACAAAAGGGGTATAGGCTTCTTTTTTTTTCTGTTTTGTTCATAGTATGGTTTGGTCTTTTGGATTTGGGTTTCTCTTAGTTTCTGATTATATTCCTCTTTTCCCTTTTAGATTGTTCATTCACAGTCATTTGCTATGAATCTACTCTATATGCTCATTTGGTATGAAATGGGATTAGGGGTGGTCATTTGTGTTCAGTTTTTCATATTCTAACTAAATAATACATAACTATATTCAAATTGAATTTTATATAAGACTAATGGATATAAAAAAATTTAGAATAAAAAATCAATACGTTTGAATAGAAAAATAAATAAAGAAATTTTAAAAGTAATTGTATCCTAACAAATCTGATATAAAAATTGAATATATATATATATATATATATAATGAATCTAATGAATTATTATCATCTTTTTACATTGTCACAAAAAATATCCTATTCACAAAGGCAAAATATGTTTCTATATTGCAAAACTGCATAAAAAAAACCCTTGATTTATAGGGGAGATTTCACAAATTTAATAAATAATATTTTTGTTGTTGTTGTAATCGTTAATAAATAAACAATCTTTTATTCTCTTTAGAGGGAAAAAAGAGCGAGGAATGTTTATGGATTGGAAAATAGGAAATTACAAGTTCAATGTATTAGTAATTAATTTCTTTGATGGTAGATTTTTGGACAATTTTACCATTTCAGTATTAATCATGTTTATAAATAAATATACGGAGATATAACTAAAAACAGAGGTGTAAACCAAAATTTAATTGGAAAATTGAATAATCACATATTAAAAATAGAGGAGTGAGTCCATAATTTCCTTTTACAAAATGATTAGAGATAATCACGTAATTATGATTCACAAATTTGGAAAAAAATAAAGCCATAATACTATAAATAGGATGTGGTCAATGTAATAAAATTTAATAAATAATATTTTTGTTGTTGTTGTTAATAAATAAACAATCTTTTATTCACTTTTAGATGAGAAAAAGATGGGTGTTAATGGATTAAAAAAATAAGAAATTACAAATTCAATGTATTTTAGTAATTAATTGGTTTGATGGTGGATTTTCGAACAATTTTACCATTTCGTTATTAATCATGTTTATAAATAAAGATATGGAGATATATATAACTAAAAACAGAGGTTCCAAAATTGAAGTACTAGTCCATCCTAATTTCCATTTACAAAATTACTAGAGATAATCACGTAATTATTATTAACAAATTTGGAAAAAAAAACACTAAGCCATGATACTATAAATAGGATGTGGTCATTGCAATAAGATTTAATAAATAATATTTTTGTTGTTGTTAATATATAAACAATCTTTTATTCATTTTTAGAGGGGAAAAAGAGGAGGGATGTTTATGGAATGAAAAATAGGAACTTACAAATTCAATGTATTAGTAATTAATTGGTTTGATGGTGGATTTTTGGACAATTTTACCATTTCAGTATTAATCATATTTATTAAAAAAAATATATGGAAATACAAACTAAAAACAGATAGTATCAACCATATTTTATTGGAAAATTGAAGTATAACATATTAAAAATAGAGGATTAAGCCTATCTTAATTTCCTTTTACAAAATGATTAGAGATAACCACGTAATTATGATTAACAAATTTGGAAAAAATAATTAAGCCACAATACTATAATTAGGATGTGGTCAATGAATAGATAGATACTACTTACTTTGTTTTCCTTTTTATTGGTTTCCTTAAACACAATTATATTAGATAAATCCAATTAAAAAAAAATGGGTCAAAAACCCTCCTATATAAACCCCCCAAAAAAGCCTAAGCAATATATCATATCAAAATCTTAATTTTCTTCTCTTCATCTTATCATAGAGAAATGAACTTTTCGTATACTTCGTTATTGTCTCTTATTTATAAAATATAAAAAAAACAGATATAAAGTAAGATCAGTAATATATCGAATGTTATTATCATAGTTTGAAAAATGGTCCGTATTTCTCGGTTAAATATTCTGATACCGAGTATTCATCATATATATGAGGTAAGTCGTTTTTCAGATTTTTATTTTTTTTATGAATGTTGACATTGTGTATTATATTTTTAATTTTCTTCTTATGAAACAGCAACTGAATTTGAATAAAAGTACTCGTTATCCACTATTTTATTTCATTCTTTATTAATGAATATGTATTTTTTTAATTATTTCTGTGATTTCCTTCGGAATTTGTGTGTATTTCGCTTTGTATTGTCCAATCAAAATCAATAAAAAATGAAGACTGGTGAAATTACAATGTATATTTCAATTCGTGGTGTAATAATTTCTTGGCCCGTTTTCATATTTCTGATCTAAAATAAAAATAGGATAATCGCATAAAAATACCTGAATTTTTATGAAACTTTCAAATAAATACTCGAACTATTAAAATTGTCAGATAAATATCTAATTTTTCCAAACTTCCACGTAAATATCCAGACTTTTAAAAATTTCCCAAATCAAACAACCATCATTAACGGTGTTAAATGTATCAGATTTCAAAGTTCCAGTGTAATTAACCGGAACAGTTTGATAAAAGATCAATCCAGTTTGGTTTTTTTTTTTAAAAAAAACCCTAACTGGTTCATGTCCCACCGCCATTTATCTTCTCTGCCCATTTTTCATCTTCCTTCGACAGTTCACTTTTTCTCTGATTTTCATGTCTTTCTGCTCCTCGTGATCATTTCTAAATCTTAAGATAGCAAATTCATAAAAATAATTTCTAAACAGAAGTTCACAAAAGAAACAAAGTCATCCGTTACAACATTACATAATTCTGAAACAAAAAATTTCAGCCAATACGGAATTTTGAATAAAAAAGTCTTAACCAATACAGAATTCCGAATCAAAAAATATTAATCCAACGAAATTTTCCAAAACGAAATATAAAGTCCTAATAGCAGAAACCGACTTCAATGATTTCTCAAGTTTGATGGAGGTGCCGGTCTTGGAATCTGAAATACTCGACCCGTATATGGAGCAGAGTTCTCCATCCATATTTGTCATTGTTCCTCCCATATGAAAATTCACCCGGATTATGTTTGTCATTGTTCAAAACTAGCATAAAATGTAACTGATAATGGCGTTAAAAACTTATTATCAACCCAAAGTCGAACCTAAAACTGGAATTGACATATACCCAGAACTCAACTCTATATCCTAATTTCGGAAATAAACTTAGAATCAAACATATCCACATAATCGATAGAGAGTGAATTAACCAGACACCGACGAAGATCGAACCCAGACACCGACGAACAATAGACTAGAGACTCGAACCCAGAGTCCATAGACCAGTGATTTGAAAGAGAGACTCGAACCCAGACTCAAACAAATACTTGAACCAAGACACTGACGAAAGAGAGTCCAGAGACTCGAACCCAGACACCGAAGAAACAGAGAACATTCCTGTACTACCCTTGTTGGTCCCAAGGGACGGAGGAGGCTAGGTTGGCCGAAAGATGGTTAACGATTCAAGGACGTAAGGTGTCCCTGTCTTTTCACGATAAGAAGGGGTAGAGAAAATGCCCCGAGCCAATGTTCGAGTACCAGGCGCTACGACGCAGAAGTAACCCAGTCCAAGACTCGAACTCAGACACCGACGAAAGAGAGAGAAAGTGAGAAACACAGAGAGAGTCGAGACTTACTTTTACAGCGAAATCGCCGCCGAGAACAAGGGTCGATTCGCCGCTGAGATCGAGGGCCGAGCCGAGAGGAGAGCGTCGATTTGTCGTGAGAGAAGAACGCCGATTCGCCGCCGAGAGAATAACGCCGATTCACCGCCGAGAAGACAATTCAAGAGAAGAGCATGAAGATCGCCACTGACAGGAGAGAGTATCGAGAGTGTTTTTAATTTTAGGAGGTGTTCGTGTTGGTTTTGTTTTGGGAATTTTATGGTTCATCATAAATTAACCAAACCGGTTCGATTTTTATTTTTATTGAATTGAACCGATTTATCCTATATGGCAGATGCTATGGATGTTTATTAGGATCCATAATGCTAGGTTCGATAGACTTCATTATACATTTAACGCCGTTAACGGATTGTTGTTTGATTTTGAAAAATTTTAAAAGTTTTGGGTATTTATGTGGGAGGTTTGAAAAGTTTAGGTATTTATTTAAGAATTTTGTAAAAATTCAAGTATTTTTATTTGATTATTCCTAACAAAATAATGCACAAACTTACTTGCATACGAAGAGTATTTATTCGTAAAATAAAATGTGTTTGGATTTTTCAGCAACGTTCACACTCAACGATAAATTCCATCATTAATTTTTGGGGTGAAATATCTTATTTTTAAACAACAAATAAAATTGATCTTATATACCCGTTAGGCTATGAGAAAATAAAAATGTGAACATATGATGATGACATGATGATATAATGATGATGAACAAAAACTTCGTTACCAACTTGAATATGTAATTTAGAATGCACATAGCCCGTTTCAGTTTGAAAATAATTACAAATATAGATATAACTGTTTGACTTTGCAAAGGTAAATATTTTTATTGATTGAGAATGAGGAATGATACATACGGGATTATATACATCTTTGACAAAATCAGAAAAAGAAAATACAATGATACGCAAATCATTCGATTAAGATTTTTCTATAATCACAGTAACCACTAACATGCCTCCGCAAGATCGGTGTCGGGTATGATGCCGATCTTGGACCGAAGAAGATGATAGCGTGTTCTTGGTAGTGGCTTAGTGAGGGCGTCGGCGAGTTGATCGGCGGATGTGACATGTGAAACACGTAGTTTCCGTGCTTGAACAAGGCCGCGAATGTAATGATAGTCAATGGCAATGTGTTTCATACGGGAATGAAACACGGGATTGGCAGCAAGGTAGGTAGCACCAACATTATCACAATATATGACCGGTGTTTCGGGGATCGGGATTCCAAGTTCGGTAATAAGAGAGACGAGCCATTGTACCTCGGATGCGGTGGTGGACACAGACTTGTATTCAGCTTCGGTAGAGGACTTGGCCGCAAAGCGTTGCTTTTTAGACGACCAAGAGATAGGGTTACGGCCGAGGTAGACAATGTGTGCCCCCGTAGACGTGTAATCATCGCGGTCACCACCCCAATCTGCATCCGAGAAAGCATGTAACGACATGGAAGTTGATCGGAAAATGAATATACCATGTATA